GAAAGAAAGAAAGAAAGAAAAAAGGAACCATGTCATTTCACTGGAGAAAAGAGGCAGGAAGACAAGAAGCCTCTAACTTGAAGACAAGAAGCCTCTAACTTTTTGTTCTTTTCTCTCCACCCATCAACTCATCCAAATGTATATTTACTGAGAATATTCTTGTTTTGTAGCAGCAATGAACTATGATTTTATGACCTGCCATATTACTAGAAGCATAAATTTACAGAAATTTTATTTATTTATGTGGTTTTATGAAACAGGGTCTTACTCTGGCCCTGGCTGGTCACTCACTATGTAAAGTTGGCCTCAAACTTTATAGTGACCACCCTGTCTCTGTCTCCTGAATGGTAGAATTACAGGCATGTACCACCACACCCAGCTTCCTTCTATCCCCTTAGCATAACTATTTCACATATATAAACCTTGAGGACATTATGTCAAGTGTAAGAAGCCAATCACTAAATGACAAATATCACATGCTCCCAAAGTAACCGAGTTAATAAAGACAGAAAGCAGGAAAGTGGGTTCAGGGGCTAAAAGAAGAAAATAGGGACATCTAGTAGGTAGAGTCTCAGTTATGCAAAACAGTCAAGCTAGAAAGATCTATTGCTTATCAATGTCCACATGTGCAATATTGGAATGCACATCTAAAATCTGCTACAAGTGCAAATTTATTTTAAGTATTTTTGTTTTGTTCCTTTGAGACAGGTTCCAATGTAACCCAGGTACCCCTAACTCCTAATCCTCTTGCCTCCACCTCCCAAGTGCTAGGATTAGAGACATGTGCTACCACACCTAGAATGTTATGTATTTTAACACCAGACACGCACACACAAACTCATCACCCATGAAAAAAAGACACTGAAGACCTGATATTCTTTCTTTTATACTGAAGAGTAAACTACTGGGGTATCTACCTCTATACCAAATAGTAAATAAAGACTTCAAAATCTAGCAATGACCTCCAACAGCATAAAGGCATTGCTCTTTTCACCCACCTAAGGTCTTGCCCATCTTCTAGACTGTTTCAGTTACATGAGACAACTGAAATATCTCGGGATCAAAACAAAGTAGACTTCAAATTCTATTTTAAAATATCCCTTTTTGATTTGTTTATTATATTCAACTTCCTAATCTAGTACATCAGTTTGAGCACCAGTGACCACAGGAAGACTATATAAACCACATAAGGAATAAAAATAAGTTGCTGGGTTTTTGAAATTATTTATTTATTTATTTAATGTGCGTTAGTGTTTTGCCAGCACATATATGTGTGTGAGGGTGTGGGATTCTCTGGTTCTGGAGTTACAGACAATTGTGAGACGCCATGGGGGTGCTCAGAACTGAACCTGGGTCCTCTGTAAGAGTAGTATATTTGGTTCTTAACTCCTGAGCCATCTGTCTAGGCCCAATATTTTAGAAGTTACTATAATAAATCACAAAAAAAGGCAAAAAAGGTCTGGACCAAGCTAGTACATACCTATAAGAAAACATTTAAGACAAAGTGAGACCCTGTTTAAAAAAAACAAAAACAGAAACAAAAACTCAGAGACGCCTTTAATCCTAGCACTTGGGGAAGGAGCCCTCTCCGGGGGATGCGACCAGAGCGGACTGAACATTCTGCCTGAGGCCAACTCAGGGCCCAGCTGTCGATCCTGTGAAACCCAACAACTTGGAGGTGCTGGTGAGATTGCCCTACTGAACAACCTGCTCAGCTGAGATCCATTCGGGAGAGGTTTCAGAACCCTGCAGCCTTCAGTCTGAGGAAACAAGATCAGCTGAGGAGTTGACGAATGAGCAAAACGGGACCTGAGAACACAAAAGAAGGCACTGCCCTGCCACTGAACCAGATCACCAGAATCATAAACCCACCCTACACCGACTGGGAACAGGTAAGCCTCCATCTCCGGACTGGCAGACCAGGTGTCTAGCCCCTAGGTCCCAGTCATCAGAGTCCCAGGGACCAGAAAGCTACCTTTCCCTGCACCCCCACCAAAAGAAAACATTTAAATATATCATGGAAGTGAAAATTATAACTATTTACTTACTAGTTAGATGATGTGGGAGATGAATAAGGAATCTGTTTCCAGTTTTAGCAAATATGTAAATAGTGGTACCAGCTACAAAAATAAGAATTAAGCAATATGGGGAATAACCACACCATTGGATTCTGTTAGCTAAGACTAACTCAGAGTCTAGACACAATGAGTCTGAGGATGACACAGGACAAGAGATGGACAATTTGCAAACATCTGTTTGAAGTTAAGAAGGATTGCAGATGAACTATGAAGTCATGGAAATAAAGATGACAACTGAACCCTCAGATAATGAGATCATTCATAGAGTGAGGAGAGAGAAAGATCATTGAAAATAATGTTAAACTGAGGATGGGAGGTTCTAAAACTGGGTGAGAAGACAGAAAAAGAAAAACAAGTGTTTGAGAGGGAAGACCCAGTCAGCAATCTCACAGGACAGAAGGGAAGAGGAGACTGTGTCTGAAAGCCAGAAAGGTGGCAGTCTTTAAATATTTCAATGACAAGGATGTAGCAGAAGCATGGGGGGTGGGGGGGTGGGGTGAAGGAGGCACAGGTGCTCAGGATGAACAAGAGTAGAAGCTATTGTTCTTTAATGTTGGTTTTTTTGGATTCTTTCTTTCTTTTTTTTAGTTTTTCGAGACAGGGTTTCTCTGTGTAGCTTTGCGCCTTTCCTGGAACTCGCTTTGGAGACCAGGCTGGCCTCGAACTCACAGAGATCCGCCTGGCTCTGCCTCCCGAGTGCTGGGATTAAAGGCGTGCGCCACCACCGCCCGGCTTTTTTTGGATTCTTGAGACAAGGTTTCTCTGTGTAGCCCTGGCTGCTTACTCTGTAGGCCAGGCTGGCCTCAAACTCAGAAATCCATCTGCTTCTGCCTCCTGAGTGCTAGGATTAAAGACATGCACCATCACTGCCTGGCTTCTTTTATTTATTTATCTATTTGTTTATTTATTTTTTAATTTTATGTGTATGGGTATTTTGCCCACATCTATGCACCCCTTGTGTGCCCAATGCCTGCAGAGGCTAAGAGGGGGCATCAGATTCTCTCCAACTGGAGTTGCAGATGCTTGTGAGCTAACAGGTGGGTGCTGGGAATTAAACCCAGGGCCGCTGAGAGAGTAGCCAGTGCTCTTAACCTCTAAGCCATCTCTCCAGTCCCAGAATGTATTCCTTTAAAAACTGTTGTGTACATGCCTAGATCTATATAGGTAATAAAGCAAGGGAAAGGAATGGAAAGGCAGATTTATGTAGTAAAGGGAGAAAACACAGAGAGAAAGCAGGTAAAAACAGCAAGGTCCATGAGGAGGAAGGAGGACTGAGGTCCAAAGGACTAGACAAGAAACGCAGAAGCAAAGCTCTACTCCTGGGACTTCAGGAATGCTATGAGCTGAGGTGCTTTCCAGGTAGTAGGTTATAGCTCAAGTGCTATTTCTTGACTCTAAACTGTGTCTAAATCTCCAAGGGATGAAGAATACAAAGTGTTCCAAAATGGGGGCTTCATGAATTGAAGAATTAAGGTCAAAGAGATCTTAAATTATAACAGGTAAATAGTTATGAATAATAGATTGGTTAAGGAAGGATGTGGCAACACTTTAGTAAGCAAAAAGTCAAAAAATTAAAGAACCCAGTGCTGTGAAAAAGCATATATACTCCAAGTGAAATAGTTAATAACAAAAACAAAGCAAAAATAAAACAAAACAATAAACAACAAGAAACAGTGCTATCACACAGAAAGTGGCAGCAGCTACTTTCAAGGCAGCAGTAGAGTTTAAGATTTCAAGGGTAGAAGCTGAGTGTGGTTTAGGAGGCTGAGACAAGTTGGAGGACTACACAGGAGACACAGGAAACCCTGCCACAAAATAAACAATCCTCCTTTCTTTTTTTCTTTCTTCCTGGGCAAAAACACTGAAGGTCGCCGGGTGGTGGCAGTGGTGGCGGCGGCGGCGGCGCGCGGCACTCAGGAGGCAGAGGCAGGCGGATCTCTGTGAGTTCGAGGTCAGCCTGGTCTACAGCGCGAGATCCAGGAAAGGCGCAAAGCTACACAGAGAAACCCTGTCTCGAAAAACCAAAAAAAAAAAAAAAAAAGAAAAACAAACAAAAAAAACACTGAAGGTCAAAGTAGAGAGTGCTCAAAAGGTCTAGGAACTCTAAGGCTGGTGTTTCCTGAGAGACATTAGGACGCCTAGGATGAAGGAAGGCTGGAGTGGATGACAAGAAACACAGTAAGTGGCTATGGTGCCTGGAGAAGAGAGCTGCACAGGGAAGGAAGAGCTTTGGTAGATACAGGTCGTTTCACTGTCAGGCTGAGGAACTCTGGATGAGACTGGGAAATGCTCAGATGTTATAGGAAGCAAGACTAATGAGCATCCTCCATCTGAGACCAAGAAACAGGTTCACTGCCGAATTCTACCATGTTAGAATAGCTAATAAAATGCTCCTCAAACCAAAGGGATGGGAAGGTGACTAAGTAAGTCTAGTTCTTGCTATGTAAGTGTAAGGCATGGCAGGTGGATGTGGCCACCTGACTGTAATCCCAGGACAAGTTATAACAGAGCAGGGGAGCTAGCCAGACTAGCTGGAGTAGAGTTTTGGTTCAGGCAAAGACCCTCCCCCTGATATAGAAGGTGGAGCATCATCAAGGAAGACACCTGACACATGTGTGTGCACACACATGAGAAAATGTAGATATTAAGCCTGCTGTGGTGGCTGACACGTACAATTCCAGCATTCTGGAGGCTGAGGCAAGAGGACTGCTGCAAATTTGAGGTTAGCATATGCTACACAGTAGCTTCCAAAACAGCCTGGACTACACAGTGAAGCCCTGTCTCAAACAAAACAAAAAAAGTATATAAATTTTTAAAAAATGCTGTACTAGTCAATCTACCCCAAACCCTCTATTTCACTGTATCATGTCTGCTGAAACAAACTGAAAAACACACACATGCATATAAACCCACAGTACTTACATGGGCTTACATCTCTGTATCTGTTTCGATTTCTGTTTTCTGGAAACTTGGCCACTCTATGAGGATAGTCATGGGACTCATTTCGAATTTCCTTAAAATAACAAAAATATATTTTAATATCCCTGCTAAATTTTATATAACAACACATATCCTCCCAGCCAATATAGAATAACATTAAGCACTTACGTTTAAGTACTGTACAAAGCACAGTGTTTACGTCATCGCAAACCTCACAACACTAAAGGAAATGACCCATGCTTTAATGAATTAAATAATTTGCCAAAGGTCAAGTATGTAGTGAGTGGCAGCCTCAAGACCAAGTCAAGATTCTTCAGACACTGAAGTCTTTATCTACTTACTACTTATTAAATTCCCTCAAATAAGCAGAAACACTTTACAGAGCAGAATTAATGCAACAGAATTAGACATATCACATTCAAATACTGATTAAAACTCTTATTGTGCCGGGTGGTGGTGGTGGTGGTGGTGGTGGTGGTGGTGGTGGTGGTGGTGGTGGTGCACGCCTTTAATCCCAGCACTTGGGAGGCAGAGGCAGGCGGATCTCTGTGAGTTCGAGGCCAGCCTAGTCTCCAAATCGAGTTCCAGGAAAGGCGCAAAGCTACACAGAGAAACCCTGTCTCAAAAAAACAAAAACAAAACTCTATTGTATCTACCTGAATTTTAAAGTTTTTATCTTAAAATTTCTACATTTCTTTTTAAAAACTTTCTTGCCACATAATTGGTACTTTGAGAGTAAAAATATTTCTAAAATTTACTTCTAGGGCTATAAAGGTTTAGCAACAATGTACAGGCTCACTTTAGGACCCATAAGGTCCTCTTTCTCCAAACCAATGTCTGTATTTGCACTGAGCCACTGGTGTGTCCATAATGGCCTGGTGTCATCTACTAGATACATTATTCCAAGAACTCATCAGGTCAAACAGAAATACTTTTAAAAAAAATCCAAAAAAGAATGCTACAATGAAAGTTCCGACTTTGCTCACATTACTCTAAATTCTAAATATATACATATAAATTATATATTTAACATTTTTTTTTTGTTTCGTTTTTTGAGACAGGGTTTCTCTGTGACACAGACCTGGCTGTCCTGGATCTCACTCTGTAGCCCAGGCTGGCCTTGAACTCACAGAGATCTTCCTGCCTCTGCGTCCTGAGTGCTGGGATTAAAAGCGTGAGCCACCAACCAGCTAGATAGTCTCTTCTTTATGGAGGAAATTTCAAGACAGCCTAATTATTACTGATTACTCTTATTCAGATCTACAGTGAAAAAGGGCATGTGGGCAGAGAGAGATAGAAAATGTGCATGTGGAGAGAAAAAGAGCACTAAGAAGTTTAATGCTGCCAACATGTGTTGGATTTTCTCTCTCTCTCTCTCTCTCTTTTTTTTAAATTTAAGGTCATCATATGATTCTACTCAGTATAAAAATGGAACATTTAGTGTTATCATACCAATCTTGCCAAATTCACTTGGCTCCTTCATACGATAGATTTTTTTTTTTAAGATTTATTTATTTATGCATACAGTCTTCTATCTGCATGCATGCCTGCATGCCAGAAGAGGGCACCAGATCACATTATAGATGGTTGTGAGCCACCATATGGTTGCTGGGAATTGAACTCAGGACCTCTGAAGAACAGGCTACTCTTAACCTCTGAGCCATCTCTCATACGATAGATTTATAAACTCTAAAACCACAGAAATATACCCTGAAACACTAAGAATTTTCCAAAACCTATTAATAGCTAATATAACTCATCTATCTTTGGTATGTCCTTGACAGTAGCTTATTACAAGTATGCAGTTCAATAAAAATTTGCCTTGCTTGCTAGGCAGTGGTGATGTACACTTTTAATCCCAGCACTCAGAGAGACAAGAGGCAGGTGGATCTCTGTGAGTTCGAGGCCAGCCTGGTCTATACAGTGAGTTCCAGGACAGTAAGAGCTACACAGAGGAACCCTGTCTCAAAAAACAAACAAACAAAAAAGGAGAATAAAATTTACCTTGCTGGATATAACAGTTTCCCCTTTAAGGCAAAAAGGGGAAAATCGCTTTTAATATTGTGCATATCAAATAAAAGCACAGGAGAGCTGGGCATAGGTGACACATGCATCTGGGAGAGGGATGAGTGCCTTGAGTTTGAAGCTAGCCTCGGCTACAATACCAAGTGCCAAGCAGGGATACACAAAAGCTTATCTCAAAGAGAGAGAACCAGATGGTGGTGGTAGGGAAGATTTGAATATAAGACTAAGCTATTTTTATTTATGTATATACAGATGTAAAGATGTGTGTATGTATACATATATATTTTGGAGATTTCAGAATCTGAAATAAGTGGTGTGTGTGTGTGTGTGTGTGTGTGTGTGTGTGTGTTTATATACATATATACTAAAGACAGATCTTTTTTCTTTTTTTTGGTTTTTTGAGACAGGGTTTCTGTGTAGTTTTGGAGCCTGTCCTGGATCTTGCTCTGTAGACCAGGCTGGCCTTGAATTTACAACTCACAGAGATCCGCCTTGGCTCTGTCTCTCAAGTGCTGGGATTAAAGGTATGCACCACCACCACCACCACCACCACCACCACTACCACCACCCAGCAAAGACAGATCTTATAATTAACTTGAAGTAAGTAATACCTGGTCTAAATTACAAATTCTAGGCAAGAGGGGAATTTACTGCAGTGCAGTTATTGGAATTAGGATAAACAAATCCTTTTGGTTAAAAATCTTTCTGTTTTGTTACATATTGAAACGGCCTGTTCATTTTAAATGGATGTACCTATAAAAATCTTAGGCTGTAGAGCTGGCTCAGTAGGTAAAAGGGATTGCCATACAAACTTAACTTGGAGTCCAGGTGGATCCTTGTGAGTTTGAGGCCAGCATGGTCTACAGAATGTGTTCCAGAACAACCAGAGCTACATATAGAAACCCTGTCTTGAAACCTCCTCCTCCCGAAAAAGGAAATGCCCAAGTCATAAGGAGAGCTGCTAACAGGGAGTGGAACCAGCCCAAGAGAAAGAAGTGTGTTGCAGTCAACAAAGTTGAACGGTGTTGGAGATCTGAAGAGTGTTTGACATCAGAGATGAAGAGTTGAGTTTGCTCAACTGGTTTTTGGTCTTGCTTTAGTCCAGTATTTTCCTGCATTCTGGAATGGTAATGCATATCCTGTGCCATTATATGTTGGAAGTATGTGATCTGCTTTTTGATTTTGATTTTTACAGGTGATTACAGTTAAGAGTGAATGAATCTCAGAAGAGACTGAACTTTAAAACATTGTTGAGACTGTGAACTTTTAAAGTTTGATTAAATGAATTTTGCATTATGATATTATTACAAGCTTATGGAGACCAAGAATGGGATGTGGTAGTTTGAATGTAATTGGCCCCCATAATCTCGCAGGGAGTGGCATTATTAGGAGGTGTGGCTTTGTTGGAGTGAGTATGGCCTTGCTGGAAATGTGTCAACGTGGGGGCAGGTTTTGAGGTTTCCTATGCTCAGGATACTTCCCAGTGTCTCTGTTGACTTCCTGTTGCCTGCAAGATATAGGACTCTCAGCTACTACTCAAGCATCACATCTGCTTGTATGCCACCATGCTCTCCATCATGATGATAATGGACTGAACCTCTGAAACTGGAATCGATCCCCCGCAATTAAATGTTTTCCTTTATAAGAGTTGCTGTGGTCATGGTGTCTCTTCCTAACAATAGAAACCCTAAGACATAACCTGAGTTTGATCCCCAGAACCCACTGTGGAAGGACAGAAATACTCCCAAAAGTTTTAGGTGACCTCTACACACGGATGGCATGAACAGACTGTCCTTACACAAGTAACAAAAAAACCTTATTGTGTCAAATGATAATTTTTTTTCTACATTGTATCAACTTAAAAGGGCTAAGATTTCTTGCAAAGTTTTTGTTAGCTTGGTTTCTTTTGATTGGTTTTTTTAGATAAGATATTGCTTTGTAGCCCTGGCTGGTCTCAAATTCATGGCAAACCTCTTGTTCTCAGACTTCTAAATTCTGGGATTACATAACACTTAGCTTACAAGCTTACAAGTGTTTTTGTTTGTTTGTTTGAAGTAATGCTTACTTTTAAAATACAAAATATTCTGAGTATGGTGGTATATATGCTTGCAATTACAGCACGTTGGAAGTAGAGGCAGGAGGATTTAAGTCCTTTCCCATCTTAGTGCACTTACACACCATGGCTCTGACTTTTTCAGCTTGAGATACAGCAAAGTTCTTTATCCTTCCAATTCCTCAGACATAAGATTTGGCCTTGGCATAGATTTTAGCAACTGCAGCATTTGTTTTTCTTTCTTTTCACCTTGTCCATCCTGGTGGCCCAGGCCTGCAAACCCAAGCACTAGGCCAGTAACTTACAGAGACCTAGGTTAAAAATGTCTGTATGGGGGGTGAGGGGCGGGTGGCAAAACTGGTTATGGTTCAGTGGTAGAACATCTGCCTAGCATGTTTGAAGCCATGGTCTTGATTACTAGTACCCCCAAAAGAAACAAAAACACACAAATCCAACAACTTTCACCAGATATGATGACCCATGTCTTTAATATTGGTCCAAGGCTAAGCTGAGCTAAATAGTGAGTTCCAAAGCAGTAACAGCTATAGATTGAGAATTTGTCTCAAAAAACAAAAACAAGTCAGCTGGTCATGGTGGTGAATGACTTTAATCCTAGCACTGGGGAGGCAGAGGCAGGCAAATCTCTGAGTTCAAGGACAGCTTGATCTAATGAGTTCCAGGATAGCCAGGGCCACAGAGAAACCCTGACTCAAAAAACAAACACCAAAAAATCAAGTCAGGCATGGTGGCACATGACTTTAATCCCAGCACTAGGGAGGCAGAAAAAGACGGATCTTTGGTTGGAGTCCAACATGGTTTATATTGTCAGTTCCAGGCCAGCCAAGGCTACATCGTGAGACCTTGTCTCAAAAAACACACCAACCAACCAAAGAAAAAAACTCTTCCTACTACTAAACCATGGAGTTTTGTTTGGTTTGTTTGAAATAGGTGATGATAAATAGGCTGACCTGAAACCTTGCTCAGACTAACCTCTA